AAAAAAAAAAAAAAAAAAAAAAAAAAAAAAAAAAAAAAAAAAAATCTGTAATCACCATCATTTCATAAAAGAAAGGATGTTTTAATGACAAAAAGTGAAAGCAACATAATTTTAGAATAAAGAATAGCCTTTAGATTTAGTGAATCTAGATCTATGAAAATGCTGTTACCTTATTTTTCTCATTTTGTTATTATAAACTAGTGGAATCTTGGTCTATCCATTAGGATGTTTTGGCTACAAATGACAAACAAACAAAACAACAACAACAACAACAAACCTGGCGGTGGCTCAAATAGCTTGGGTCATTTTCTTGTATCAAGAGGTCTAACGGTTAGTGGTTGCCAGCAGTTCAGCTGTGCTGTGATGTTGTCAGACTCCGCCTCTTACCCCAGGTCTTCTTTCCACTGTCTTCTTTTTCTCGTGCTTGTAACCTCATATCCATTCGATGGCCTCTGTACTTCCAGGAAGACAAAAGGAAAAGTGCAAAAGGCCTTGCTGGAGGTGGGATTTTGTCCCCCAGAAAGGGATGATGAAGTCCTAACCCTAAGTACCTATAAATGGGACCATATTTGGAAATAGTGTTGGCAAATGTAATTAGTTAAGATGAGGTCAGACTGACTTAGGGTCGGCTCTAATCCGATAACTGATATCCTTCTAAGAAGAGAAAACAGGCAGATACAGAGAGTAAACCCCCGTGAGAAGCTACAGAGGAGACACGGAGGGAAGACTGCCAGGTGAAGGCGGGGGCGGAAGTTGGAGTGATACAGCTGAGAAGCCGAGGAACATCAGGGACTGCGGGCCACCATCAGAGCCAAAGAAAGGCAAAGAATTCCTCTGTAGAGCCTTGGGAGGGAGCAACACCTTGATATCAGACGTATAACCTCCAGAACTGTGAGGGGATCATGTATGTTGTTTTAGGGCCCCCAGTTTGTGGTCTTTTGTTATGGCAACCCTGGGAAACTAGCGCAGGCCCCTCCATCACAAAGCCTTGTCTTGGGAAGTCTCCAAATTTGCCTTTGTAGCCCACTGGTGAGAACTGGGTCAGACAGCCAAACTTAGAAGGATCAATGGCCAAGGGGAGGAGATTTCCATGACCTATTCCGATTCATCCTTGAGCCTAGGTAGGGACTACTCTCCCTGTGATCAAGGGATCTCTCTCCACCATCTGAACACGTTGGAAGAAGGGCAGATGGCTTTGGGGAGGCAATGGGCAGTGACTGTCATACACGAAGATGGACTGTTCTGCTGCTTTGTGGACGACACATTAGCAATGCTACCCTACTGAACAGTGCTTGAGATTCACCCCAAAACAGATCTTCATATTCTCTAGAAGCACTCAGAGGTTTAGGTGAAGGATCTGGGTAGGTGGTTCCAGAGTAAGAAGTTAGAAAGATGAGGGTATCTGAGAGGTGGTGTTCCCAGGGAGAAACTATGTGATCTCATCTAAAACGAAGAGAGAAATTATGGAAGCAGCCCAAATGTTCATCGATAGATGAGTGGATAAAGAAGATGTGGTATGTATGTACAACAGAATATTATTCAGCCATAAAAAGAAATGAAATCTTGCCATTTGCAACGACGTGGATGGAGCTAGAGAGTATAATGCTAAGTGAAATAAGTCAATCAGAGAAAGACAAATACCATATGATTTCACTCATATGAGGAATTTAAGAAATAAAACAAGCGGTCCTAGGGGAGTAAAAGAGAGAGAGAGACAAACCAAGAAACAGACTCTGAACTATAGAGAACAAACTGCTGGTCACCAGAGGGGAGGTGGGTGGGGGATGGAGGAAATAGGGGATGGGGATGAAGGAGGGCACTTGTGATGAGCACTGGGTGATGTATAGAATTGTCGAATCACTATACTGTACGCCTGAAACTAATATAACACTGTATGTTAACTCTCCTGGAATTAAAATGAAAAACCTAATTTTAAAAAGTTTTACTTAGCCAATAATAGCTAAAGTATCATTTCAAATTAAGTACCAAACCTTTGCAAGAAGACTTGCTAAAATGGCGGTGGAGGGTATCAAACTATACATTCAGTATGATCCAACATTCCTTAGCCAAAAATACTGGGAAGAAAATAGCAAAATGTTAATAATGACTATCCCCAGGTAGTGAGATTTGTTTGATCGTTACAGTTTTCTCTTTTATTTTTCTGTCTTTTTCAAATTTTCTACAATGAGCATGGATGATAATGACGATGATATTTAATAGTTATGAAATGAACATGCGCTAAGAACTTTACTTGGATTTTTTTTTTCATTTAGTTTTCACAATTTTTGCAATAGGCACTATTGTTATCCCCATTGCACAGATGAGAAGGTTGAGGTACGGAGCCATCACTAAAGAAAACAAAAGAGAGTGAGAGAGAAAACCGAGAGAGACGATAATGGAATTTAGAGGAAACGTAGTGTCAGGAAACTGGAAATGAGAGGTTGGTGAAATGATCTGGTGCTCATGAAAATCCCCCATCCTTACTCCAAGGTAATTGTCACCCCAGCTTAAATGTAGGCAGCAACATATAGTAAGACATGAGTTTTTAATCTTCACTCAGTAACGGCTTAAACAGTTAAACCCAGCACCAGAGAGTAAATGCATCCATGTTGTTAAACCTATTTTTTTCGTAGCTAAGACAGAGATTAAACGTGCTCATGAATTTAGCTCCGCTGCCCAAGCATCCCATCTGCCAGGCAGCTCCCAGTTGTACACATTCTGGAAGTCCTCTCAAACCTTAAATTCCTTGAATGCCTATCTGGGAACTATAGACATGGTCTGGAGGCCACGTCTTGTAGAGACTGTTACATTCCATTGGCATCTTCCTAGATCACCAGCCAAGCACTATTCGGCCGCATCCTCTACCTGGACCTATCCTTTATCCCACCTGCTCCGTGTATAGGGTTCTAACTGGCCACGTGATCTGCCTTCCTCTTCCGGTTCTGCCTTCCTACACTGGTTCTTTGACCATGACTGCTTTATTCCCACAGTTTCCTCTGCCTGGGAGCACCTCCTCCTCTGTGTCCCCTCTGCTTCTCAGACATACATCTGTCATAGCAGCAAGACCTACTGTGGCTTATTACGTGTCTGTCTCACCTTACTAAGGACTTCGGAGGCAGTCTTAGTGATACCTTAGTGATCTTTGTATTCCCAGCATCTAACACAGTTGGGGGGCTATTAAATATTGGATGGATAAATAAAGGCTAATCCCAAGGGAAGCAGATCATGTTATACATTCCTCAGCTGGAGCTCACGGGGCTTGGCGATGTGCCACACTGAAGCCTGACAGGGACAAGACTTCAGGAAGGGTGACTGACCACAGGTCTTCCTGGTCTGTGGAAAAGCGGGAGATGCACCCTGAGCCCTAGGGCGAACATCCTTTGAAGTAATCTGATTTATTTCTGCAAAATTCAGTGCTTAGGTGTTGTGATCCATTTCTAATGTGCAAATTTGCTTTCCTGAGAAATTGAAAGGAACTTGAGCAACTTCTTAGGTAGTTTCCAGTCCAAACGACTTCTCAGCGTGAAGGCCTTCCTTTTCTGAATGTGCACGTGGACAGGTAGCAGTCGGAACGGAGAGCGGCAGAGCCTTGCCGCTGTGAGCGTGGTGTGGAAACTCTCATCATCCACGTGAACACGTGAAACGTGAGCCGGAGCCACGCGGCTCCGTGGCTGTGACGGGGTGGGCAGGGACTAGAGGGGGCTGGCTGAAAGTGAAGTCCAGAGGCTGTTGGAAACATACTCATTTTACGTATTCTCCCTAAGAACGGACTTGTTGCTGGTAAATGAACTTTTTCCAGCGCGAGTTAGGCAATGGCTGGATTTAGGTGCCAGACTCTTGTTGCTTCTTACTGCGAAATGCCCCCCACGTTGTTTTCCTTTTTCCTTTCTGCCATTTAGGCCCTGTTTCCTTTCTGCCATTTATGAGGTCACTGTGAACTTCCCGCACACCACAAGTGTACGGCGGGGGGGGGGGGAGCACTGCCACCTGTCTCGAGACCTCCTACCGTTCCTCATGATTCACTTCACTGTGCTTTTTCATTTCTTATACTTTGATCATGTTTATCTTCTCTGTTTCCTTCTGCTTTATTGCTCACATTTGTTTCCTACCTGAGTCTGGAAGTGACCTTAAGAAGCCATCTAAGCAGAAGGGAGGCATTGTGTTTTCAGACTTTGAGAAGACCGCCACTGCTCCGTAGGGTGCCTTTTGTGAACCCGAGAAAGGCATTCCTTCTGGACAGATGCAGCCCCACACCAGGGTTCAGGCTTAGTGAGCAGAGAGCAGAGTGATTTCAGGGCCAACTCTAATGCACATTCTAGAGCGACCTGCCCAACCAGAAGGTACGGTCCTGTTTAGAAAAAAAAAAAAAAAAAGAGCCCATAATCTTGCTTAAATAAATGGTTATCGTGATCATTTTTCTCATAATAAAAAGATTCTTCTTTAAAGTCCATTTAATGGATGAGTGGCCTTGAATACACATTTATTTCTTCAATCTTCAGTAATGTAAGGACCTCCTTAAATACGATTCAAGGCTAAACAGTGGCTTTCTGCGGCCATAACATCAAAGGCAAACACCATGGACGAATCTGCTAAGCTGTCTCTTCTCATGCTACAGCACCATCACATATATTGTCTTCGTTTCAGGAAACAACTGATGAGCAGGGACGATGAGCCAGACTTTCAAATCCCATCTTTTTTTCTCTCCAGCTTGGCATTTTCGCTTCAACTAGCCTTATGATGAAATGGGTGTCGAAATTTCCAAACAGAAAGCTCCTGAACATAACTCTCTGCTGCTCCGGGCTTGGGAGCCACAGAAGAGAGCTCTTGGGTTGGCTTCTCTAGCCCCATCTGGCACTTGGCTGGCCCTTCCCTGTGCCCCGCCCCCAATACCCACTTCAAGACAATGTGCTCGGACACCTGCTTGAAGTGCACGGACCAGTTCAATATCGCTGGAGGGAATCTCTGGGTATAAACTCCACACAGAAGAACAACAATAAGACTTCACTCACACAGTATTTTGTTACTTAGAAAATATTTTCCTATGCGTTAGGTTCATGTAATCTTGCATCGGAATTATCATCCAAAAAGCAGAAATGCATAAACTCAGTCTAGGGAAATAGAATTCTCTTTCAAGCTGTCGATCCCAGCCCGTCCTTTTCTATGGTTCAGGTTGGTTCATAAAAGGCATGAGTGACCGCCCGGCCCCAGGGGGCCCCATTTTCTGGGTCTCAGTCTTCAAAATGGGTACAGATCTCACCCCAGTTCCATTTCTTCTGACCCACTTCTTCCTGGCCCTGAACTCCGAGCCTGTGGCCTCCACATCTTTCTTCCTTCCAGCTCCCTGCAGGCTAAGGGTAAAATGCTTTCTCTCAACTCCCTTTGGACTAGAAACCTGGTCTATACCAGTTTCCAAGGGAAACCTTCTTTACCTGCAGCCACCTATATCCTGAGT